TAGCAGCAAGCATGTCTAATACCAGATTTTGTTTTTTAAATATCGTTCTTCAATAATAGGAAGCAGAGCTCCTTGGATAGATGCCTGGTTTTAGGATTGGGGCAGCTGGAGCAGGGAAAATGATGAGCCTGGAACGTCTTGTAGTGCCAGAAAGTAAGGTAGTATTCAACAAAAGAGAAAAGAAAGAAAGAAAAGAAAAAAGAAATGAGGCGTGTCAAAAGGACACAGAAGCTCATCTAAAGAGAGCCCACTGGTCACAATTAGAACAATTAATAAATTAAATAGTGCGGTTGACCCTTGAACAACACTGCTTTGAACTGTACAGGTTCGCTTATATATGGGTTTTCTTCTGTCTCTGCTATCCATGAGACAGCAAGACCAATTCCTCCTTTTGCTCCTCCTCCTCAGCCTACTCAATGTTAAGACAATGACGAGGAAGACCTTTATCTGAGGAAATACACATAATACATTTTCTTACATTATGGAAAACAGTTTAAGTGTCTGTTGTTAAAGCTTCAGCCTTCTTTTTTTGTTTGTTTTTGAGATGGAGGTCTCGCTCTCTCATCCACACTAGAGTGCACTGGTGTGATTTCGGCTCACTGAATCCTCTATCTCCCAAGTTCAAGTGATTCTCCCATCTCAGCCTCCCAAGTAACTGGGACTACAGGCATACACCACTGGCTTAATTTTTTGTATTTTTAGTAGAGTTGGGATTTCACCATGTTGGTCAGGCTAGTTTTGGCCTTCTTAATAGAAATAGTGCTGGACTACATTCACTTTCCGACGAAGGACATATTGACTTAGAAATAATTTGCCTTTTATCCATCTCTTTCAGTAACTTTGGCATATAAAATAACTAGGTCTGCATTCATTTTTCTTTTATAGCAGCACATTAAACTAAAAAAGTGTAAAAGTAAATCTTTTATGTGTTTATACATATGTAGTTTTTCTTTTTCTTTTTTTTTTTTTTTTTGAGACAGTCTCACTCTGTCACCCAGGCTGGAAGGCAGTGGTATGATCTTGACTCACTGCAACCTCTGCCTCTCAGGTTCAAGTGATTCTCCTATTTCAGCCTCCCGAGTAGTTGGGATTACAGGCACATGCCACCACACCCGGCTAATTTGGTATTTTTAGTAGAGATGGCTTTCACTATGTTGACCAGGCTGGTCTTGAACTCCTGACCTCAAGTGATCTGCCTCCCATGCTTGGATTACAGGCATGAGCAACCATGCCTGGCCTGTATGTATCTTTTCAATCCCAAATCTGCATTTGTGAAGATTATGTTTTCAGTTATCAAATAAAAGGCATGTGTTTTGATTGGAAAACATAAATTTAAAAGAAGAGTCAAGGCGCAGCGTGGTGGCTGATGCCTGTAACCCTATCACTTTGGGAGGCCGGGGCAGGTGGATCACTTGACGTCAGGAGTTCAAAACCAGCCTGGCCAACATGCTGAAACCCTGTCTCTAGTAAAAATACAAAACAATTTGCCAGACGTGGTGGCGGGCACCTATAATCTCAGCTACTCAAGAGGCTGAGGCAGGAGAATCGCTTGAACCTGTGAGGCCAAGGTTTCAATGAGCCAAGATTGTGCCACTGCACTCTAGCCTCCAGAGCAACAGAGTGAGACTCTGTCTCACAAAAAAGAAGAGTCAAATTGCTGTGCTCTGACATTTTACCTTTGCATTGGCCTTACTATATTTGGGGTCCATTCATTTTGCCATTCAAATGCTGTTTTATCAAGAGAGTTGCATAGCTCACTACCTGTAGGACAGAATTGGAGAGCTGTTATTTCTGCCTCCGCAGGGTGGTACTGTAGAAAATTGTCTTTACTTCCCCAATTAAGAAATTTTGGAAATTAGTCAGACCATGTGACAGCATGAATGTACAATTTGTCTAAGTTTCTGTCAGTGTTGAGGCATTTAGCTCATAATCTGAACTTCTGCCAATTCCTCTGATTCAGAATGTGATATAACTTTGTTTGTTGAAGTTACTGCATCCCTGAAGAATAAGAGGAAAATGATTTTAAAATTACATGTATATATGAAGAAAATGTTGTGTTTTTTAAAAATTCTGTTTAGTTTCTATGAAAATCTGTTCCCGTCTATGGCAGTGTAAAGTGATAAAATGATAAACTTAAAACTTGAGGAAAAGGCTGGGCACGGTGCCCCACGCATGTACTCCTAGCACTTTGGGGTGTGGAGATGGGTGAATCACCTGAGGTCAGGACTTTGAGACCAGCCTGGCCAACATCGTGAAACCTCGTCTCTTCTAAAAATACAAAAATTAGTGGGTCATGATGGCAGGCACCTGTAATCCCAGCTACTCAGGAGACTGAGGCAGGAGAATCGGTTGAACCCAGGAGGCAGAGGTTGTAGTGAGCCAAGATTGTGTCACTGCACTCCAGCCTAGGTGACAGAGTGAGACTCCATCTAAAAAAACAACAAAAAAAAAAAAAAAAAAGAGGAAAAATAAGCTAGAAAGGACCCTTAGGGAAAAGTTTGATTATGTTCTAGTTTGTGTTAAGGAAATGCAGGTGTGATGAAGTCAGGCGACTTGCCCTAGTTTGTCTGGCTAGTTAGTGACAGTCTGGACTACACAGACTTACACAGTTGTAGGTAGTTACATTGAAGGCTTCAATGGCAAGTCCTAAGGAATGGCAGATTTGGAAGGGATCTCTAAGTGAAATGTATCAAACTTGAAAAGAAAATGTTGCATTACACCTAAAGGTAAATAAATCATGATTATAAGATCCACAGAAGAAGAAACTACAAGTTGTGGACAGTCTATTAAAAACATCCTGTCTTCTGAAATTATTTTAGGCTGGAGGTTTTTTTTTAATTGCGTGTTCAAGGCAGTGGTGATATTAGTGACAATGAAGAAAGTAATGTTTATGGAAACTGTTTTAATGCCTACCATTCAGAAGCTGCTTGAAATCAAATAAGATTATATATTTCAGTAATCATTTGTACCCAGCTTTTCTACCAGTGGAGTATAAAATAGTGTTCTCTATTGTTATTTAGCCTTTTCTTCCCCATCTGATCTAAGTTTTCTTTTTCTTTTTTTTTTTTTTTTTGAGACGGAGTTTTGCTCTTGTTACCCAGGCTGGAGTGCAATGGCGCGATCTCGGCTCACCGCAACCTCCGCCTCCCGAGTTCAGGCAATTCTCCTGCCTCAGCCTCCTGAGTAGCTGGGATTACAGGCACGCGCCACCATGCCCAGCTAATGTTTTGTATTTTTAGTAGAGACGGGGTTTCACCATGTTGACCAGGATGGTCTCGATCTCTTGACCTCGTGATCCACCCGCCTCGGCCTCCCAAAGTGCTGGGATTACAGGCTTGAGCCACCGCGCCCGGCTAAGTTTTATTTTTCATGAGACAGAGTCTTACTTTGTCACCCAGGTTGGAGTGCAATAGCATGATCTCGGGACTGCATCCTCTGCCTCCTGGGCTCACATGATTCTCCTGTTTAGCTTCCCAAATAACTGCAGCTACAGGTGTGCACCACCATGTCTGTCTGATTTTTGTATTGTTCATAGAGACAAGATTTCTCACATTACCCAGGCTGGTCCTGAGCTCCTGGGCTTAAGCTATCCACCTTTCTTCACCTCCCACAGTGTTGGGATTACAGGTGTGAGACACCGCGCCCAGCTTCAAATTCTTATATCCAACATTTTATCATAAAATCACATCCTTTTTTTTATATGCTGTGGTATGTGCATCCCCCAAAGTTGATGTGTGGGAAATTTGATCCCCAATGCAACAGTGTTGAGAAATGGCATCTTTAAGAGGTGATTAGGTCATGAGGGCTCTGCCCTCATTAATGGATTAATGCCAGTGTTTCAGGAGTACGTTCCTGATAAAAGAGTGAGTTTGGCTTCCTTTCCTCTGTCTCTCTTGCTCTCCCTCGGCCTCTTGTGCTTCTGCCATGGGATGATGCAGCAAGAAGGCCTTTTCCAGATGCAGCCCCTTCCATCTTAAACTTCCCCATCTCCAGAACTGTAAGAAATAAAATCTGTGCTCATTATGGGTAACCCAATCCTAATATTCTGTTACAGCAACACAAAAGGGCTAAAACATTTTATAATCTGAATGTGAAGCAAATTAATGGAAACTACATACATTCAAAGGGACCATCTTATTTATGTCCAAACGAAAACATTTTTGAAAAAAAGTTGTGCAAACCAGATTTGCCATTGTCTTCTTTCATATTAAGCTCCTTTCACTTGGTGTTAGACAAACTCATTCAGTCTTTGGAGGTCAATGTTAGATTGTTCTATGTTTATTACTGAAATAATCTTGATAATGAATTTTAATTACTTGGCTATCTCTTATACCTGTTAATTTAAGTTGTGAAGGTCTGTTTCTGTCTAAGCAGTTGTGCCTCTGAAGATGTTTGCCCAGTAGTAATATTTGGCTTCCTCCTTGAATTTCTGAGAGGACATTGCGTTGAATTGAAATTTGAGATTACTGCAGTTTTCTGTCACTGGAGTCTGTTTATTCTGCAGTTTGACTTTCTTAACTGTGGTAATTAAGTCAGATTTCACATTTTTAAGTGACTTTTTTCTTCTTAGAATATCTGTTCTTTTTTTGACTTTTATCTTAGGCTCAGGGGTACATGTACAAGTTTGTTAAATAGGTAAATTGTGTGTCTCAGGGTTTTGATGTACAGATTATTTCATCACTGAGGTTATAAGCATAGTACCCGATAGGTAATTTTTCAGTCCTTAACGCTCTTCCCACCCTGCACCCTCAAGTCGGCCAGTGTCTATTTTTCCCTTCTTTGTGTCCATGTGTACCCAACATTTAGCTCCCAGTTATAAGTGAGAGTATGCACTATTTGGTTTTCTGCAGTTTTAGTTGGCTTAAGTTAATGGCCTCTGGCTCCATCTGTGTTGCTGCAAAGAACATGTTCTTGTTCTTTTTCATGATTGCATAGTACTCCATGGTGTATATGCACTCCATTTTCTTTTTCTTTTCTTTCTTTTTTTTTTTTTTTTTTTAACAAATTAACATATTTTATTGACTTAGGGCCAAACAAGGCAGCATTTGATCAGTTAAGAAAGGCACCTCATTGAAAATAATACATCACAGTGCTGTTGAGTCATCCCACTCACAGGATTTGAGAATGGAAAGGACAATCTTTGGATGATATAGCTTGGGACATTTGCTCATTAATTTAAAAGGGCCCCTTCACACACTGCAGATAAAAGAAGGCAAGAGCATAGGATTGTGGCATGTACTGGGTAGCTGGGAGAGGTTACTCATGTGAGTAGGTAGCCTGGTGAATCAGTGGTAGGTCAGGGGAAGGGAGTCAGCCTCCCTTTCCATTCCATTCCATTCTCTTCCCCCTCCCCTTGATTCCAGTAAGCTTCATTTGTTGATCCACCATCACTATGAAGGCACCTTATATCTCTTTCAAATGTGGAGATGGTTTTTTGATCTTACAGTGTGTAAAACCAGGGTCAGTAGTCAAAGCCTCCCTGTTCCAAGCTATTGGACAGACTGGACAATAATTTGATTTCCTGTACTTTTGGTCTGGAACCCATGGGGGTTCTGAGATAAAAGCTGAGGTCGTAGGAGCACTGGCTTTAAAAAATATTGTCACTAGTCCAGAGTAAATGAGAACCCGATTCCTTAGAAATAATACTGTATCTCTCTGTTTCTACCCCCACCCTCCAAGCATGGTGTTTTTTAAAAAATTAATTTTTCCATTACACTTTAAAAACTCCTACTTATGTGTAAAAGAAACCACCTCACTAAAGTAACACTGCTGTTCTTCCAAGCATTCCTTTTGAGCCCCTCACCAGCCCTTCCTGACCACCCTTCTCTTCTGCCTAGCACCTAAGAGCAGGGATCATGCCGCAGGGTGATGAGCAGTGGTGCAGTCTCACCTGGCCTTCTGATACTAGGATGTGGCTTTGGAGAAGTCTGCTAGGATGCACGCGAACATGACATCAGGAGTCTGGGATGCATTGATGGCAGAGTGGATCCCCCGTTTCCTGTAGTACTATGAGTGGGGTGGTTTGAGTGTGGTAGGCTTGCAGGCGGATTTTCAAGGCCTTCTCATTATCATCTGATCGACGAATCAAGGGTTCCTTGGTGACGTCATCTTTCATCGGCTCCTTTGGAGGGTTGAACTCCTCATGGTAAGAACGGCCACTCTTGAGGTGAATAAGCCTTCCTGTGATTCTTCGGATCAGCAGAGAGTCTGGGATGCTGAATTCAATCACAGAATCAAGCTTCTCTTTCCTCTTCTCCATGAGGTCATCAAGCATTTCTGCCTGCCTCACAGTCCGAGGGAAGCCATCCAGGAGAAAACCATTTTTGCATGAAGCGGTCTCCAAATTCTTCTCAATGAGCTCTACTACCATTTCATCACTCATCAGTTTCCCAGCATCCATAGTTGCCTTCAGCTTTTTTCCCAGCTCTGAGCCAGAAGCCACCATGACCCTCAGCATGTCCCCAGTAGCCAAATGGCAGACACAGAAGTTTTCAGCCAATTTGGGTGCCTGGGTGCCTTTATCGGCCCTGGGAGGCCCCAGTAGCATGGCCGGGATGTCTTTAGGGTACTTGGGTTCCACCACTGACACGCTGGGAGCCGTGTCCGTGGAAGTCTCTCCTTTTTTTTTTTTTTTTTGGATGGAGTCTCTCTCTGTCACCCAGGCTGGAGTGCAATGGCGCAGACTCGGCTCACTGCAACCTCTGCCTCTCAGGTTCAAGCGATTCTCCTGCCTCTGCCTCCCCAGTAGCTGGGACTGTAGGCACATACCACCATGACTGTTGTAGTTTTAGTAAAGACAGGGTTTTACCATGTTGGCCAGGATGGTCTCGAACTCCTGACCTCGTGTGACTCACCTGCCTCAGCCTCCCAAAGTGTTGGGATTACAGGCATGAGCCACTGCGCCTGGCCTGCCATATTTTCTTTATTTAATCTACTGTTGATGGGAATTTGGGTTGAGTTCATGCCTTTGCTATTGTGCATAGTGCCGTAATGAACACACACACACGTCTTTATGGTAGATGATTTATAATCCCTTGCGTATATGCACAGTAATGGGATTGCTGAATCTAATGGTAGTTCCGATTTAAGTTCTTTGAGAAATTGCCAAGCTGCTTTCTACAATGTCTGAACTAATTTACATTCCTACCAGCAATACATAAGTATTCCCTTTTTCCCACAACCTCTAGTATGTTATTTTTTGACTTTGATAACACCCATTCTGACTGTTGTGAGATGGTATCTCATTGTGGTTTTGATTTGTATTTCTCTAGTGATTAGTGATGTTAAGCATTTTTTATATGCATGTTGGCTGTGCATATGTCTTCTTTTGAAAAGTGACTGTTCATGTCCTTTGCCTCCTTTTTAATGGAGTTGTTTTTTGTTTAAGTTCCTTATGGATTCTGGATATCAGACCTTTGTCAGATGCATTTGCAAATATTTTCTCTCATTCTGTAGGTTGTCTGTTCACTCTATTGATTGTTTTGTGGTGCAAAAGCTGTTTCATTTAATTTGGTCTATTTGTCAATTTTTGTTTTCATTGCAATTGCTTTTGGCATCTTTATCATGGAATCTTTGCCATTCCCTATATCCAGAATGGTGTTTTCTAGGTTGTCTTCCAGGTATTTTATAGTTTTTGGTTTTACATTTAAGTCTTTAATCCATCTTGGGTTGATTTTTGTATATGCGGTAAGAAAAGGGTACAGTTTGAGTCTTTTGCATGTGGTTAGCCAGTTTTCCCAGCACCATTTATTTAATAAGGAGTCCTTTCCCCATCGGATGGTTGTAGGTGTGTGACCTAGGCTCTCTATTTCTGTTGCATTGGTCTGTGTGTCTATTTTTGTACCAGTAGCATGCTGTTTTGGTTTCTGTGGACTTGCAGTATAGTTTGAAGTATGATAATGTGGTTCCTCCAGCTTTAGAACATCTGTTCTTGATACTGTAGTTGTATGCATCCTTTGAAGGAATGGGGATTTTTATCATGGTTAATTATGGAGGGAGCAAGACCCAAAATACCATAATTGTTACCATTGTAGAGATTACTGCTTCTGTGTGAGCTGAAACATTTCTCTTTAAAGTTGGTAGTCCTTTCTTTATATGGCCCTCGTGACCTATCTCATTAATGTCTATTACTGATTAAGGGCATGTCATAATGAAACCATTGATTGGAGGAATATTAGTCACAGTAATATACTGTCAGTATTTTGTTACACTGAGGTTTGTACTGGTGTTTGAATAATTTGAGAAAGAGGTCCTTTATGTTTGTTTTCAACAGTGATGGAATTACCACACTCTGCAGGAATTAGATGTAACACCTGGACCAAGTCCATGGTCAGTAGTAGCAAAGTGTGTTTTGCTTTTTAAAACTATGTCACTGTTCCTAATTGTTTTAATTCTGCAAATAATACTACTCATTATAAAAATATAAGTAATATAGAAATGGAAAGTAAAAAACAACAGCTTTCTTTTCCTCTTGCTTGCCTTCCAGTCTCAACAATCTGTACCTTCTAAACCTCTTTCTATGTGTAAACATAAATATACTTTGACATAAGTGGGATCATCCAGTCTTCATTGCTTTATACCTTTTTCCCTCTAAACATAACAGCTTGATCAACTCTGCATGCCAATATTTGTGAATCTAGTTCATTCATTCCAACAGCCATATGTCATTCTTTTAAATAGAAGTGCTACAACTTAACCAATCTTCTATTTTTGAAAGTGTCCTTTAATTAATATTTTATTTTTAAACTGCATATTAAAAATTTTAGTACTGCATATAATTAAAAAATTCAGTTCACTCAAGGATTTTAAATGAAAGATATAAATTCTTCCTCAATTCTCAGTTCATTTTTAGCTATTTCTTTTTTAGTTATTATTCTATTGGTTTCCCTTATAACTTTAAATATTTACACTTTTTTAATATGTCTATCTCTTGATTTGCCAACTTTTTAGATAGAATCTGTTGATTCCACACTATGACTGAGGAAGAAATCAGCGTACCTCTCATCTCCTCTTCCATTTTTATGTTATTTTTCAATTCTTGGGGATTGTTACTCTATATTCTGTTGGGTAATTTTTGTCATGTGTGTTTTGTCTGTATGTTTTTTGTTTCTTTTGGAGACAGGGTATGGCTCTGTTTTCCAGGCTGGAGTGCAGTGGTACAAACATGGCTCACTGTGCAGCCTTGACCTTTTGGACTCAAGTGATCCTCCCACCTCAGCCTCCTCACTAGCTAGGACCATAGACACCTACGACTGTGCCAGGCTAATGTTTAAGTTTTTTGTAGAGGCAGGGTCTTGTCATGCTGCCCAACCTGGACTCAGACTTCTAGGCTCAAGCAATCCTCTGGCCTTGACCTCCCAAAGTATTGGGATTAGAGGTGTGAGCCACTACACCTGGCCCAGATTTTTTTTTTTTTTTTTGAGACAGAGTCTTACACTGTCACCCAGGCTGTAGTGCAGTGGCACGATCACAGCTTACTGCAACCTTGAACTCTTGGGCTCAAGTGATCCTCCTGCTTCAGCCCCCCACATCCAACTAATTTTTAATTTTTTTTGTTGAGACAAGGTCCTACTACATTGCCCAGGCTGATCTCAAACTTCTGACCTCAAGTGATATTCCCACCTCAGCCTCCTAAAGTGCTGGGATTACAAGTGTGAGGTACTGTGTCTAGCCTCTATGTTGATTTTTAAAAAAAATTTCATTCCAATCTTAAAGCATTATAATTATGGTTTTGTGAGTGTATTGATTCTTGATTATACACCAAATGGTGCGATTAGACTTATGGAGAAGGAAATGCAGTGCTCTGTGTCTAAGCATTTGCCAGTTGAAGGAAGCTGTCACAAGAATCAAGGTCCAGGGGATTCTCCACTGATTTATTTTTTGCTTTCTTTGCTGTAGGTCATGGTCATGCTCTTGGTATTGATCTTGATGTAAAACTATTTGTGTGAGTAGAAAATGCTTTGTGAAAAGTATTTTTCCATCATAATTCAGTAGTTTGGGTGTATAGAATTATAGTTGCAAAATCATTTTTTTCAGGACTTTAAATGAACTCATTACCTTAATATCTTCTGTCATCCAGTTTGCTAATAATTATGGTAGTCTGATTCTTGTCCTGTTTTAAGTTCTTTCTTTTCTTCTTGTTTTTAAATTTTTAAGAATTTTCTCTTTATTTTTGGAATTCTGGATGTATCTAAATTTGACCATGGGCTCTGGAGTCATACTGTTGGTTTCTGATCCCAGCACTACCATACAATGTACTTGCTTATACCTTGGACAAGCTACTGAACCCCTCTGTGCCTCAGTTGCCTCACATATGTAATGGAATAAATGGAGTTTTTATGAGCATTGTCTGAGTTAATATTTAATCAGCATTTCAGGTGGCAAGTGCTTAATAAATGTTAGTTGCGGAGCTGGGCATGATGGCTCACGCCTGTAATCCCAGTACTTTGGAAGGCTAAGATGGGTGGATCATGAGGTCAAGAGATCAAGACTATCTTGGCCAACATGGTGAAACCCTGTCTTTACTAAAAATACAAAAATTAGCTGAGCATGGTGGTGTGCACCTGTAGTCCCAGCTACTCGGGAGGCTGAGGCAGAATCACTTAAACCCAGGAGGCAAAGTTTGCAGTGAGCCAAGATTGTGCCACTGCACTGCAGCCTGGTGACAGAGTGAGACTCTGTCTCAAATAATAATAATAATAACAATAAAATAAATGTTAGTTGCCATAATTATTATTTCTCTTGATGGAGTATATATTGGGTTATTTAAATATAAGCAATTATGGCTCTATAGATGAAACAATTTTATTATACTTTAATAATTATACTTTTTTTTTCATTCTTTAAAAATCTTCTTTATCCAATTCAGTTCTGTATTTTGGAAATTTAGCAGAACTATATGGAGACCTTCCAGATATATCTTCTGTGCCTCTTCTAAGCTTTTTGTCTTTTTGATTGATGTTATAGGAGATTTCTTCCACCTTTTCTCCTGTGTTACTAATTTTGACCATAAACCCAATTCCTAATATTTAGTCCATTCATAAAATTTTTTATTTTGGTAATTATTTTTAATTTCCAGTATGTATTTTTTCAGATTGTCCTTTTGCATAATGGTCTTTTGTGTTTTATAGGTACAATATCTCATTTAATTTGCACATTATTTATTAGAATTAAAGAAATTATTCCTGTGAGTTATCTGTCCTCAGGTGTGAACTGTCTATGTTCCCCTCAGCCTTTCTTTTTCATGTGTACTCCTTTTTCTCAAATGACTGATGATTGCCAAAGCTGATTGTGTTGATAGTTAGCACAAGTCCCCTCTGCAGTGGTGTGGGTCTCATTGTCTTAGATGCTTTTCCACTGAATGCAGGGCTGAATTCAGACTCTGCGCTGTGACCACAGTGTGGCTCACTAGCAGGCTCCTGTAGGGTTGGCATGGGTCTTCTCTCTAAATCTTCCCCTAAGGCTCTGAACCGGGAATCTTAGGCAACTGGGTACTCTTGCTATTATAACAAAGATGCTTCTCTTTTTAAATAAGCCTCATATCTCCTGTTGCTTCATTCCCTCATTCTTTTCCTTCTGACAAGACATGTGAGGTCTGAGATAAGTATCTCTTAAG